AATAACTTTGCCAAAAACGTAAGCTAAAATATTGTCTTGACATCACTACGGGTCCACGACTCACACAATGATACGCATAACGACGATACCATTGAGGATCGATAATTTCGTCGTAAATCACGGCCGCGTATCTTATATTTGTATATACATAGTCATTATAATACCAATCGAAAACAGATCGATGCTCGAGCACACAACTATGCTTTTCCCACATGTCGCGTGACAAATTTGTAAGAGCCGTATTAAAAAGTGCAGACTCTCGATCTAAATTAAAACCAACCATTTGTATGCTTTTTTTTCAGGATGCCCGTCTAGATCTGAATAAACGTATTGCAGAAATAAGCGACGAAGAATTTGATCGTGATCTAGAACACAACACAGACTCCACTGTCAAATTTTTTCAACTCGATGATAAGATATAAGTATTTTAATATGCTAAATATTCATCAACAAAACAATACAGAGAAGACTCTATTTTACCATAATTATAATAATTATCATATAGTTGATACGTACTGTCTAAAATCAATTCAATATCTGTAAAAACACCCATACGGGTGTAGTTATAATATTTTAAAAATAAATTTATTGCATAATTATAAGTAAACGTTTGCATTATTCGACACCCCATAGTCATCCATGTATATCTATTAATTTTACCCGTATATAGTTTAGACAACTCGTGTTGTGTAATATAAGCTAAAATTATTTCAAAATGTCTTTTCTCCTCTCCATCGCTTTGCATTTTTGTCGTCCAATTCTTCACGCTGTCGTTTCGTGCTTATCGTACGATAAAACGTGTAATCACCACAATATCCTCGAACTGTTAGTTTGTCTAGGAAATTTCCCAAATACACTAAAACGCTAGTCCTTTCGCTACCCAATACATTCCACAGAGCACGCACGTACTTTGCTACGTTTAATACATGATTTCTAAACGGTAACCTCGACAAACTAGGCGGTGTCGCTATATACAGAGCCTCTTCAAAATTTGCTTGCGATGTGTTGATCACTCGAACCACGCTATCTTTGATGCTAAATTCTAAACACAAAGTGTAATTCATTTTTTAACCCCAGTACCAAGCAAACCAACAGACTACACACGATGCAAGAACCATTTCTTCCAACAATAACTCGATCGAAAACTCGAAACCATTTTTTGTTATTTCACATTTGATTTCCATTTTACAAATAAAACTTTAAAAAATATATTGGCACGCTTTTTCTCAAAAAATGATTGACAGCATCGCACCAAACAAGGTAATTCAGTTATGTGTGGAATGTTTTCTGACACAAATGAAAAAATATTTTGTGTGTGTATCTATATAAAGCCAGAAAAAGAAACGTACATTAAGACACAAAATGAATCAACCCATCGATCATAATATGCGAATGACTGAACAAGAACGACGTTTGTTAAAAGACATAAGTCAAAAAAAATGTGTCAATGAAAATTGTCAACATTGCAAACACAGTACGGCCCACGACCCTCGTGCACACCATACGCTAAGATACTGTGCCGAGTGTCGTGTATACATGTGGCGTACCATGAAAAATCAACAAGAACAGGAGTACGATGAAAAACAAGCAAAGATTCAACAAGATCCGACAAGTCAAGAATACGTGCACACGGGACGTGTTTTGTACTGTGATCCGCCGCTGTTTGAATACCTGCATATAAATGAAAATAGAAAATTTACAAGTCCGCACGACAATCTCGAGAACGCTGTAAAAGAATATCAAGAAACCTATCACGCAGATGAAATGATGCGTCTCTTACAAGTCCAAAAAAAATATCGCGTTGAACAACGAGCCAACGTACTTCTCAAAATGTACCCGCAAGTCGATCACGAAGAATTAACGAGAAAATTATATGCAGTTGAAGATGATCATGAAAAGGAACAATTTATACGACTTTGCGAACTACCCGGAGCCTTTTATATGTATTTACAAATTAATAAACGTTATATATTTAGATCGGCAAAAAACGATTTGCATGCAGCCATCGAAGAATACCATGCTTTAAAACATTGGGATTCAGATGAAAAAATATAAAATTACCTTTAAAATAAAACTTTTGTTCATTTGCTGCCCGACTCTTTACCAAATAACCCTTCTCCCGCTTTCACTCTCTTCGCAATCTCCTCACGTTGTTGTTCCCTTGCTCGTTTTAACGATTCATTTTTTTTTTTAGCTCTCTGCATCGTATGATAATAGACGAGACTCACGCCTGTGTCTTCTTGTAATTTTTCCAATGATTCGTGTATTTTACGCCAATAACTATTTATTGACATCTCGAGACAAGTAGAATGTTTCACAAACGCCACGGCGCCGCTAGGTAGTATTGTGGGAGGTTCTGGTGGGACTTTAAAATTTTTTAATAGCTCTATTTGAATCCTGTGTAACAAAATATACTTGATATGCGCATTACCCCGCACAAAATCAGGTATCAAACCCTGTTTAAACAATAACTCCTCCACTTCGCCTATATCATTTTTTTCCCTCTCGTCATCATCATCTATCTTCGACAAAATAGTTTTTCCCTCTAACCATTGCAGAACACATTCTTCCCACTTTGCTAAAGACGTCATGATCGCTATTAACCCTTTGTGTGCAAAAGGAATCTCTTAAATAAATCACAAAAAAACTACATTTATTATCATTTTACTTACATTTTCAAACAATTTTTCGAGTTTTTTTTTTAATGCGTGGGCGTCACATCTCTGACCCACAACGATGTTATTTATAAAAGCTTTCAACGCGTAGGGTAATACTATCGCTTATGTGGGGTATGGATAACGAAAGCTATGTACAGATACTTGAATATTTAAAAAAGAATTCTATTCCTATAACAGGTATTGCTCCTTACGACATTGGTCCCAATAAAAAAATTCATGCTGTAGATGAAGAAATTGAAGATTGTCAAAAAATAGCTAGACTCGTCACTCTTACACAAATTTATTTCGCCGTTCAGCCGCGAGGAATATCGTACGTGCTTTTGGACAACGAAAAAAATGCCATTATTCGTTGCACGGCTCGCAAAGATAGTATAATAGAAAAACTATGTGGAGAACAAGCGCTACACATGGTTGAATTTTCAACAACTGTGAATATGCATATTCAAAGTGTTTACGATGCTTTACTATGGAATACCAAGGCAACTGAAATCATGGTGAATGCCTTCTACGAACAATTTAATCGTTTGACAATAAATACAGGCATACTCTTTCCTTTTGGTCAGGGAAATTTTTTAGATTATATGGCAGGACCCTTGATACCCACAGCTACAAAACTATTATCAAAAAATACTCAAAACACAGAAGATGGTACTTTACTTTATCGTATGTTAAACGCATATATTTATTCGCAGGGTAGTAGTAATCTTACACGAATAATAAATTTTATCTAAAAATTTACCCGTTATTAAAAGAAAATGTAAAGGACAGATTTTCTTGGATTGCTTTTAACGAAACACTACCGATAGCAAAAATAGAAATAATCGAAGACCGAATTCATGTAATTATGTAAAAAATAATAATTTTTTTTCAGATAAAAGAAGTAGTTTAAATAAAACTCAAAAAGAAGAAAACAAACAAAAAGAAAAAAATAGCCTCGGACAGTATATTGCACGAGATTGTTTTTTTATTTTCAAGAAAACAAATCCACGTACAATACACTGTTCGATGGTTCAAAATCCAGGAAAAGAGAAAGAAGTGAGTCATGTGTAGTGAGAATACCGATCATCTTAGGGTGAGAATCGAACTCACTTTGACTTGGGACTTTTTTATCCCCAACGCGTTGCCATTCCGCCACAATAGATGTCGCAATATGATCAACACACACGCACCCACAATATATGTCTGCTTCGTCTCGGTATATATCCACGTCTTACTTATCTTGCACAATTATTACGGTTTTCTGTGCATATAATGACTCTATATATCTCTTGTGTACTGTGTGTAATTATTTAAAATAACAATCTACACACAGTACACATAAAACGATAAAGTCTTAACACCAATAACACCAACCCTGTTGAGAACATTCACAAAATCGTGACACTTGTATTTTTTTATCTTTATCGCGTTGCCTTTGCTCCTCTATTTTCACATCTAAATCACGAATTATTTCACAAATATTACACTTGCAATTACACGTGCAACCATCTTCCTCGCAAATACACGTACACTCCATATCAAGACCCGAGCAAAACTAAAGTCTTCACACGATTACGGTTTTTTAAATAGTTTTTTATTATCTTTGAACGTGAAATATATTGTGCTAGACGATCTTTTGCTTCGCGTTTTACACTAGAAGGAAATTATCGTCTATCATAAAAAATTTCCCTCGCGCATTCTGAAGTTTTTTCCCTACAGTTCTCTAGAGTTTTGTTTTTTCTCCTAAACCTAACTTAGAGTTTTTTTATTACTACTACCGTCGACTCTTTGTTGTTTTCTTTCTCGCCTGAGTCATCTTCGTCTTCATCAAAAAACCATTCATCTTCCTCGTCCTCTTCTTCCTCAACAAACAGTCGTAGATAGCCGGTTTGCATTTCCTCGCTGTAAAGCCCAAATTACAATTTATAATTACCGAGTCAGTCGGTATGCAGGCTCAAGACTAAATGCTATAAAGGGGCGAATTTCGGCCTGTTTAGTTTGTATATGTTAGAACTTTGCTGAAGAACGATAAACAGAAGACTGTTGAGATATATTATTTATGTGACAACTAGAGCGATTCCCTCATTGTGAGGTAAGACATTTGTATAATGTATACGTATGTATTTAGTGTTATTGTTGTAAAATCGACTTATAGGTAGGATTCATTCTTTTATATAATTATTATTTAGAAAACCGACAAACGTTATTAATTAAATAAAGTGAAGAAAATATAATCTGTCGTGTCTATCTCGTAACGGGGAATTTGAATTAGTAGCACTTTGGTTGCTACATAAGTTTTCTCACAAGAATTTATCTGGTTATTATATGGCGTCCGAAAGCGACATGGCGATCAACGAAGCAGAACGGCCAAGCCGAACTAGATTAAGCCGAAATATTGATGGCGCTCGTGAAGAGAAACTGCGAAGTTTAAAGGCGTCAAACTCAGCGTATCGTGGGGCTATTACTCGAGTTCAAAAACGGATAGAACAGTTAATGACTGATAGAAGCAATTATGAAGAAGTTCAAGCCGAAAAAGCGTCGCTGGATAAAACGTTTATGAGTTATTCAAAATGCTGTCAAGACATTAAAGATTGTTTGTACGAGGACGAAGTCACTGAATTCCGTGAGATAGCGAAAGGATATACTAACGTTTGCAACGCAAAGGAACATTTAGATCGGAAGCTTGGAGAATGGATAGCAATCGCTGATGTTGATTTAGAGACGAATTTTAAAGAACGCTTTGAGCCAAGCGAATTAACGACGTTTCGAGTGAATGAACACGAAAGGTTAACAACATTGAACGAATTTGCATACCCAAACATGCGAAGTGATGGTCATGTAGCCTCGGATATCGACAGTCGGAGATCAAGTTTGAATCGTGTCTCGCCCGGTATGACGGAATTGCAATATTTCAAGTCAAGAAATGAGATGCCTGAATCCCGACGCAAGGTGGGTATGATTCGAAGCACTCAAACAAGTGTAGCATCTGAAAGTGCGAGTATTAGAAGAGCGAAAGCTGAACTAGAAAAACAACGATGTATGGAGATGCAAGAGATTGAACGCCAGCAACAGGCCATTGATCATCAACTAGAATTGGTGCAAATTAAGCAAGAAATGGAATCGAAGCGTGCTGAGCTACAACGTAGACGTGAACTTATAGAGCTGGAGAATGACATCGGAAGGGCTAAGTTGGAAGAGGAAGCTGAGAAGTTATCGATAAATTACACAAAGTCAGAAGCACGAGATGATTCGAGAGCTGAGCCAGCGAATCAGAAAATTGGGCTTCGCAGGGAGCTGGCAAGGGAAGACTTATCGGAGTTCACCAAGCCATTAAACTCAAAAGTGATTGAGGAACCTCGACGTGATTCATATATACGAAAGATGGAAAAGGTCCAATCGCAAGACATTCGAGTTCCTGATTCTCATCCGCCGCAGAACGCTCCAGCTAAACAAAACGTCACATGGTCAAACGAATCTGTATCTGAAGTATCACCTCGGAGAATCAAGCGAGAGGAAGGGAGTTATGGTGCTGGTGAATCTGACCCGTTGTACCGAGTTCTCCAGAGTCAACAAGAATCATTAATCCTGATGGCTAATACTCTTGGTTCATCGATCAGAAGAGGATTTGAAATGCCAAAACGGGTTTGTCTTGGTTTTGACGGGAATCCTATGAACTATCCAAAATTTATAGAAAATTTCAAGACTAACATTGAAGAAAGGGAACAAGAACCAAGATCCAGGTTAGCTTATCTTATTCAGCTGTGTTCTGGTATTGCGAAAGATGCCATTAGTAACTGTGTGATGTTGCCTGATGAAGAAGGATTCTCGAGGGCTAAAGAAATACTCCATAATTCGTTTGGTCAAAGTCACATAATCACGCATGCGTATATCGACAAAGTGACGAAGGGAGGTTTAATTAGAGACGGTGATAGTGAGAAGTTATTACAGCTAGCGCGAGATATGGAGAATTGTCAGATCAACTTAACTCAACTCAACTCGGCTGCGAGTCTGAAATTAATGCTCAAAGCAATCTTGAGAGAATCGTTGCACGGCTTGAGAGAATCGTCGACTCGAAAGGTCTTCGATGTCATTCGACCTTAAACACCCGATGATCTTGCCCCAACATCATCATGTTACCGAGTTGATCATTCGCGACTATCATACAAGTGAAGGACATATAGGACCTACCCAAGTGTTGGCAAACATCCGTCAGACATTTTGGATTATCCATGGTCCTACCGAGGTGCGACGAGTTATCAAAGGTTGTATCCATTGTCAAAAACGAAATGCAAAACCCGGAGAGCAGATAATGGCTCCTCTTCCTGAAGCAAGAATCACTCCACTGAATCCGCCGTTCACCTTCGTGGGAGTGGATTACTTCGGTCCATTTATTGTCAGCCAAGGTCGGGCCCAGGTGAAACGATACGGGTGTTTGTTTACCTGTCTGACGATGAGGGCAGTACACATTGAAATCGCCCATTCCCTGGATGCGGAATCCTTCCTTTGTGCTTTCAGTAGATTCGCGAGTCGACGTGGACAACCATCTGACGTCTATAGTGATAACGGCACCAACTTTACAGCAGCACATTCCGCCCTCGAAGAAGAGTTTGAGAAACTTCGCGCCAAATCTTCCCAGTCAACCATCACAGATCGTTTACGAAAGCAATACATTCAGTGGCACTTTAATCCCCCTGCTGCCAGCCACATGGGTGGCATTTGGGAGAGGCTTATTCGCTCGATTCGACGAATATTGAAAGCCTTGTTACAAGGACAGAGAGTGAATGACGAATCCTTGGTGACGTTCATGGCAGAGACGGAGAGAATTCTGAACGAGCGTCCATTGACCCGTCAAGAAGATCATCCGAATGACCTTGAACCGTTAACCCCAAACAAGTTACTTCTCCTGCGATCAGAGCAACCACCTCCTTTGGGAAGTTGGGTAGTCGCCGACAAGTTCTCTAAACGATGGAGACAAGCTCAACAGCTCGCGAGTGCATTCTGGAAAAGATGGGTTAAAGAATATTTACCTCTACTCCAGGAACGACAGAAATGGCTGACAGTAAAGCGAAATTTACAACCCAAAGATCTCGTGTTAATATTGGACGAGAGATTGTGTCGAGAACAGTGGCCGCTTGGTATTGTCGAAGAGGTGTATCCTGACAAGAATGGTCGAGTACGACAAGTCCTGGTGCGCACATCGAAGTCGAAGTTCAAAAGGGACATTAGGAAATTATGTTTATTGGAAGGAGACTGTTAAGTATTTGGACTCCATACGTAAGTTAGAACATTTATAATTGTTATAGTATTTATAGATTAGGATAAGTTTAAATATAATAATGTAGTCGATAATTTGGTTTAATGATTTGATATCAAGACGTGGACTTGATAGGGGCCGGTATGAAAAGCCCAAATTACAATTTATAATTACCGAGTCAGTCGGTATGCAGGCTCAAGACTAAATGCTATAAAGGGGCGAATTTCGGCCTGTTTATTTTGTATATGTTAGAACTTTGCTGAAGAACGATAAACAGAAGACTGTTGAGATATATTATTTATGTGACAACTAGAGCGATTCCCTCATTGTGAGGTAAGACATTTGTATAATCTATACGTATGTATTTAGTGTTATTGTTGTAAAATCGACTTATAGGTAGGATTCATTCTTTTATATAATTATTATTTAGAAAAACGACGAACGTTATTAATTAAATAAAGTGAAGAAAATATAATCTGTCGTGTCTATCTCGTAACGGGGAATTCGAATTAGTAGCACTTTGGTTGCTACACTCGCGTTCTTTCATACCGTCGACCCACGCCTTCTCAAACCATTCGTTGCAATCAAATGAAAAATCTTCGTCTTCATCATCGAACCAATCATCATCTTCATTGTAGGAAAGCGCGCAACTCTCCCCTTCAAATATTCGCTTGGCTTGCGAACATTTCTTGCATTCAACAACAGAAGCACAGTTTAAATTGCATTCGGCCATAATTGCACACAACTTTGGGTGTTTCCACACGTCCTTTTCCTTTATATTAATAATGTCGGAGAAACTTCCGCGTAGACACCATGATCCCAATGTCTTCGCTACCGTAAGTTCGGTCGGACCTATGAGGAGACGCGGGTTAGCACCCGCAAACACCCGCGACGCCCCAAAATCGGGCGCGCGAGCATAAAAGAGCGCGAACTTCAAATCGAAATCAGTTCGGTCGACCGCGGCTTTGGAGTAACATCTCGCCCCAGCCCCCGTTCTCGTAAGAACAACGCGCGCGCACCCCTCCCCCCACAAAAAAAAACAAATCCACACCCTCCAGAGCGCGAGGCAGGACACAACATTCCTGAAGTCACATGACCACCAAAACTCCCCCCGTCCGTACAGCCCACCACGCCCATGGCCAACGCCCTCTTGGACACTCTCGCGCAATACTAATTCCAGTTAATTTTTTCTGGTTCCCGCTCCCCCTTGTTTTTTTATTGTATATATATAACCACTACTATGTTTCGAAGAGTAAATTCTAATATTTGAAGAGAAAATTCTAAGTTTGAAGAGTAAATTCCAAGTTTTGAGGAGTAAATTCGATATTTTGAAGAGTAAATTCTAAGTTTTGAAGAGAAAATTCTAAGTTTGAAGAGTAAATTCCAATATTTGAAGAGAAAATTCTAAATTTGAAGAGTAAATTCCAAGATTTGAAGAGTAAATTCGATATTTTGAAGAGTAAATTCTAAGTTTTGAAGAGTAAATTCTATGTTTCGAAGAGTAAATTCTAATATTTGAAGAGAAATTCTAAGTTTGAAGAGTAAATTCCAAGATTTGAAGAGTAAATTCGATATTTTGAAGAGTAAATTCTAAGTTTTGAAGAGTAAATTCTATGTTTCGAAGAGTAAATTCTAATATTTGAAGAGAAAATTCTAAGTTTGAAGAGTAAATTCCAAGTTTTGAAGAGTAAATTCGATATTTTGAAGAGTAAATTCTAAGTTTTGAGAAGAAAATTCTAAGTTTGAAGAGTAAATTCCAAGATTTGAAGAGTAAATTCGATATTTTGAAGAGTAAATTCTAAGTTTTGGGGAGTAAATTCTATGTTTCGAAGAGTAAATTCTAATATTTGAAGAAAATTTCTAAGTTTGAAGAGTAAATTCCAAGTTTTGAAGAGTAAATTCGATATTTTGAAAAGTAAATTCTAAGTTTTGAAGAGAAAATTCTAAGTTTGAAGAGTAAATTCCAAGATTTGAAGAGTAAATTGATATTTTGAAGAGTAAATTCTAAGTTTTGAAGAGTAAATTCTATGTTTCGAAGAGTAAATTCTAATATTTGAAGAGAAAATTCTAAGTTTGAAGACTAAATTCCAAGTTTTAAAGAGTAAATTCGATATTTTGAAGAGTAAATTCTAAGTTCTGAAGAGTAAATTCAATGTTTCGAAGAGTAAATTTTAATATTTGAAGAGAAAATTCTAAGTTTGAAGAGTAAATTCCAAGTTTTGAAGAGTAAATTCGAAATTTTGAAGAGTAAATTCTAGGTCTTGAAGAGAAAATTCTAAGTTTGAAGAGTAAATTCGAAGATTTGAAGAGTAAATTCGATATTTTGAAGAGTAAATTCTAAGTTTTGAAGAGTAAATTCTATGTTTCGAAGAGTAAATTCTAAGTTTTGAACAGAAAATTCTAAGTTTGAAGAGTAAATTCCAAGATTTGAAGAGTAAATTCGATATTTTGAAGAGTAAATTCTATGTTTCCAAGAGTAAATTCTAATATTTAAAGAGAAAATTCTAAGTTTGAAGAGTAAATTCCAAGATTTGAAGATTTAATTCGATATTTTGAAGAGTGAATTCTAAGTTTTGACGAGTAAATTCTATGTTTCGAAGAGTAAATTCTAATATTTGAAGAGAAGATTCTAAGTTTGAAGAGTAAATTCCAAGATTTGAAGAGTAAATTCGATATTTTGAAGAGTAAATTTAAGTTTTGAAGAGTAAATTCTATGTTTCGAAGAGTAAATTCTAAGTTTTGAAGAGAAAATTCTAAGTTTGAAGAGTAAATTCCAAGATTTGAAGAGTTAATTCGTTATTTTGAAGAGTAAATTCTAAATTTTGAAGAGTAAATTCTATGTTTCGAAAAGTAAATACTAAGTTTAAAAAAAAAATTCTAAGTTTGAAGAGTAAATTCCAAGATTTAAAGAGTAAATTCGATATTTTGAAGAGTAAATTCTAAGTTTTGAAGAGAAAATTCTAAGTTTGGAGAGTAAATTCCAAGATTTGAAGAGTAAATTCGATATTTAGAAGAGTAAATTCTAAGATTTGAAGAGAAAATTCTAAGTTTGAAGAGTAAATTCCAAGATTTGAAGACTCAATTCGATATTTTGAAGAGTAAATTCCAAGTTTTGAAGAGTAAATTCTATCTTTCGAAGAGTAAATTCTGATATTTGTAGAGAAAATTCTAAGTTTGAAGAGTAAATTCCAAGATTTGAAGAGTAAATTCGATATTTTGAAGAGTAAATTCTAAGTTTTGAAGAGTAAATTATATGTTTCGAAGAGTAAATTCTAATATTTAAAGAGAAAATCTAAGTTTGAAGAGTAAATTCCAAGTTTTGAAGAGTAAATTCGATATTTTGAAGAGTAAATTCTAAGTTTTGAAGAGTAAATTATATGTTTCGAAGAGTAAATTCTAATATTTGAAGAGAAAATTCTAAGTTTGAAGAGTAAATTCCAAGATTTGAAGACTAAATTCGATATTTTGAAGAGTAAATTCTAAGTTTTGAAGAGTAAATTCTATGTTTCGAAGAGTAAATTCTAATATTTTAAGAGAAAATTCTAAGTTTGAAGAGTAAATTCCAAGATTTGAAGAGTAAATTCGATATTTTGAAGAGTAAACTCCAAGTTTTGAAGAGTAAGTTCGATATTTTGAAGAGTAAATTCTAAGTTTTGAAGAGAAAATTCTAAGTTTGAAGAGTAAATTCCAAGATTTGAAGAGTAAATTCGATATTTTGAAGAGTAATTCTAAGTTTTGAAGAGTAAATTCTATGTTTCGAAGAGTAAATTCTAATATTTGAAGAGAAAATTCTAAGTTTGAAGTGTAAATTCCAAGATTTGAAGAGTAAATTCGATATTTTGAAGAGTAAATTCTAAGTTTTGAAGAGTAAATTCTATGTTTCGAAGAGAAAATTCTAATATTTGAAGAGAAAAATTTAAGTTTGAAGAGAGTAAATTCCAAGTTTTGAAGAGTAAATTCGATATTTTGAAGAGTAAATTCTAATTTTTGAAGTGAAAATTCTAAGTTTGAAGAGTAAATTCTATGTTTCGAAGAGTAAATTCCAAGATTTGAAGAGTAAATTCGATATTTTGAAGAGTAAATTCTAAGTTTTTGAAGAGTAAATTCTATGTTTCGAAGAGTAAATTCTAATATTTGAAGAGAAAATTCTAAGTTTGAAGAGTAAATTCCAAGATTTGAAGAGTAAATTCGATATTTATAAGAGTAAATTCTAAGTTTTGAAAGGTAAATTCTATGTTTCGAAGAGAAAATTCTAATATTTGAAGAGAAAATTCTAAGTTTGAAGAGTAAATTCCAAGATTTGAAGAGTAAATTCGATATTTTGAAGTGTAAATTCCAAGTTTTGAAGAGTAAATTCGATATTTTGAAGAGTAAATTCTAAGTTTTGAAGAAAAAATTCTAAGTTTGAAGAGTAAATTCGAAGATTTGAAGAGTAAATTCGATATTTTGAAGAGTAAATTCTAAGTTTTGAAGAGTAAATTCTATGTTTCGAAGAGTAAATTCTAATATTTGAAGAGAAAATTCTAAGTTGGAAGAGTAAATTCCAAGATTTGAAGAGTAAATTCGATATTTTGAAGAGTAATTTCCAAGTTTTGAAGAGTAAATTCGATATTTTGAAGAGTAAATTCTAAGTTTTGAAGAGAAAATTCTAAGTTTGATGAGTAAATTCCAAGATTTGAAGAGTAAATTCGATATTTTGAAGTGTAAATTCTAAGTTTTGAAGAGTAAATTCTATGTTTCGAAGAGTAAATTCTAATATTTGAAGTGAAAATTCTAAGTTTGAAGAGTAAATTCCTAGATTTGAAGAGTAAATTCGATATTTTGAAGAGTAAATTCCAAGTTTTGAAGAGTAAATACGATATTTTGAAGAGTAAATTCTAAGTTTTGAAGAGTAAATTCTATGTTTCGAACAATAAATTCTACTATTTGAAGTGAAAATTCTAAGTTTGAAGAATAAATTCCAAGATTTGAAGAGTAAATTCGATATTTTGAAGAGTTTACTC